GTTTCGTTCTGCTGTGCATAAGGTTGCTATGGGTTGGTACCAACTCGATGGTACCTAAAACAACAACAGCAACATGAGTCGGAAGCAACTCGAAGGCTTGTTATAATAAGTGGTACTTTTCTTACAGTATATAAGGGTTACATTGTCATTGCTGCTGTTAGTTGCCCTCAGGTTGCCTCTGACTCATGGTAGCCAGATCTCTAACAGAACAAAATGCTGCCCAGCCCTGTGTCATCTTCATGAACCCTGATATGTTTGAGTTCATTGGCATGACTATCGTGTCAGCCTGTCCCGTTAAGGTTTTCCCTCGATTTTTATGGATGTAATATTTTTGGAGATCTTTAGTAGCATTATTGCCACATAGTGTGTGTTCAATATATATTGACTATCACATTATCTTTGTTATGTGTGGGTATCATGAGTAATGGAAACGTGGTGGCTCTTTGGGTAAGCACTGAACTGTGAACCACAAGGTCTGCGGTTCTAGCCCACCAGCCTCTCTGTGGGTGAAAGATGAGGCTTTCTATAGCTGCAAAGATTTATAACTTTGGAAACCCTATGAGTTTGAACTGTGTCGCTATGAGTTAGAACTGACTTGACAACACTTAACAAACAAAAACAAATGAGTAATAGGCAGAAATAAAATTAAGAGAGGATTTATTTTACTTGCTCTGAAAGACTTGCACAATAAATGCTTATCTTGAAATATAACTTTAATTATAATGATCATATTATAATTTTTTAAATGTGAACTCTTTATTGTGTTCTAGATTCTGTGGTTCTTATTAAGAATTAATCAACTCCAGTGGCTCAGTGTTTAGGTAGAGAACCTTTTCTGTCCCCAGCATAAGTGGCATCTTATTATAGCCCCGTTTCATTCAATATACTTAGGTTATTTTTCTAAATCAGTATGTATATGTCTTCCTCTTCTAGATGAATAGCATCTCAACTGTTTGGTTATATTATAATTTATATAACCAATCTTTTTAAAAAAATATTTAGGTTTCCAGTTTTGCATTAGAGTAAATGTATAAATACATACCTTTGAGCACTTAAACAAATATATCATAAGATATCATCTGTAAAACAGGGCTAATGCCTACCAATGGAATTGCTGGGTCAGAGTATGTGGCTTTTAACTTTTCATAAAATATTGTCCAATTTTTACTGAAAACGGTAGTATCAGTTATGTTCCCAATAATTGTGCATGAGAATTTTTTTTGCCATGCGTTTTTACTGATTATAGATGTCATATTTTTTAATCTTGCCATTATGGTGGGTCAGAAAACATTACTGATTTTAATGAGAAAACATTTTGTTTTCATTATACCTTGAGTTTGTATAGTACTGTATTTTATGGGATTGAATTTCAGCACTTGATTACTATGCTTAAAAGTCTGAGAGGGTATAGCATAAATAGAGACAATAATTTTACCAGTTTTATTATTTATTTTTGAAACTTTTTATTGTAAATCCAGTGAAGGCTTACAAAGATCATCAGTTTTACATTCAACAAATCATATGCTTTGTTTCATTGCAGTGGTTTGTATTCCCTGCCATGTAACAATAGTTAGTCCACTTCTTCCCTAGGGTTCTATTTCCCTTCCACTCTCCTTCCCATACTGCCTTTTAGATCTTGAATGGTTGACCATTCCATGGAGTAATCCTTTCTAGTATTATTGTCTTCTTATATACCTGTCCAGTGCTTGGATGAAAATTGGGCCATAAGGGTGAATTCATTCTAGATCTGAAGGATGGTCAAATGCCATAGTCTCCGGTTCCTCCAGCTTCTTTATGACCAATAAGTCTGACTTTTTTTTCCTGAAATATAATTTTGTGTTTTGCTCCACATTTGCTCTCACTCTATCTGGGACCTTCTCATGTGATCCCTTTAAGAGCAGTTTGTAGAGGTAGCCAGGCAGCATCTAATTCTTCTGGTCTCAGAGTCATGATGACTGATGTTCACATGTTCCATTGGCCCATTAGATTAATTGATTACAAGCATCTTCAGTTTCCACCACTCTTCTTTCTTACACACATTGAGCAAGAG